CTTCAGCTGTTAGAGTTGTGCAGAATAAGCAAAAATGTAAAACTGAAAACAAATATTTTCAAAGGGATGAAGAACGCAGATAAAATGCAGCTATATTCAAAAGAACAGACGGAAGCTCCAGGGTTGCAGGCCAGACTTCAGCTCCTCCCCTCCCTGTGCCCTGCGGGCTGCAGGGTCAGGCTCAAGCCATGCCCGCCCTGTCCCGGAAAGGCAGCTCAGGGGCCCAGGCGGCGGCTGAACCCCAAAGGGGTGCGTTGGGCAGCTTTTCCTCTCTGGGTCCCAGCGTTGAGCGATAAGGCTGTTGGCTGTCCCCCCAGCGGGGAGGCGTGACTAAAACGTACGGTGAACAAGTTTATAGCAGAGTGAGACACGGCACCATCAAGGACTCCTGGCTTGGAACACACTGATCCCGCCATTCCTGCCACTTTCTGGAGCAGCTCTGGGAGGTGCTACCGCCCGTCTATGTAGTATGAAAAGGAAAGACAGGCTGCCAAGCCCACCCAGCGGAAAGCAGGTTCCCGAAAACATGACGCTGGGGACAGGCGCGGCAGTGCACGCTTGGAATCCCAGCACTCAGGAAGCTGAGGCAGGGCGGTCACCTCGAGTTTGCGGTCAGCCTGGGCTACTTACTGAGTTCAGGCCAGTATGAAGTACATAGTGAGTCACTGTCCCAAACAAAACAGAATAAGACACGAGCAAAACCATGCCGCTGTGTCCTCATCCGCCCTGTTCACTGGACCTGCCACTAGGCAACCTCTGGTTCTTCCCCAAAGTCAGAATGACCACGAAAAGTGAGTGTTTCGAAGCGGTTAGGGACATGGAGGCAGCCACAACAGTGCATTCAAGACATCAGGAAGGACTCCTACAGCTGCTTTCTAAAGTCACAAGTATGGCGGGATCAGTGTGTTCAAAGTGAGGAGGATTTTGAAGGGATTCACAGCAATGTGCTTTTTACTGCAATAATTTTTTTAATCTAAATTTTGCCAAGTGCTCTGATCACACTGCGTGCATGGTGACAGGGATGGGGGATCTCGCTGAGCCTTCTGGCACACAGGAGGAGCTGTCCTGGCCATCTGGCCCCACTGTCCACACCAGCCTGTCCCTCACCCTTGCTGTTCCTAGTCCCTACTGCATGCATGGACCACAAGCACTGCTCCTGGTCCTCCCGCTTCTAGGCAGACTGGACAGCAGGCAACTGCAGGGGGACTTAGGTCAGATTCTGCCCAGGGGACCACTCAGGCTCACTGCGCATCCAACACGGGTCACTGTACCCACGAAGGAGGCCCTTTACCACAGCTGTCTCTGTGATACAGTGACCATGTCCCTGGGGAGGAGATGATAGCCCTGCTGGTTCTACCCTGGGTATTCCACAGTGCCCCCTTCTGAAGCACTGAAGGTGTGGCAAAAATGAAAACAGCCATGGGGCTGGTGAGATGGCTCAGTGGTCTAAAGCACCTACTTAGAACAAGTTTAGCAAAGCACAGGGACCACGGTTCAATCCCCCAGCACCACATGCCAGCCAGCCCCACACACACAAATTAAAAAAAAAAAAAATGAAAACAGCCACACTTGATGCTTCTTGGACTTCTGTCCCCAGCTGCCTGTCACCCACATGCTGAAACACCCTCAGGCCATCAGGCCAGCTGTGGGGAGCCTTCTCAGGTGACACCCACAGAAAACCCCCCACGTCAAACACCTGAGGACACCCTATCCTCTGAGCCTGTCCAAATGCAACCCTGGTCCAGGGGCGGCAGAAGAGAGACCAAGGACACTACAGGGGCAGCCACAGTGGGCTGGGACCTTCAGCCTCAGCCCCTTGCTGAATGGGAACTGAACAGAACAGGCCCTGCCACTAGTGGAAAACTTTCCTGTCTCAGCAACCCACAGAATGAGCTGCCCAGCGAGTATCTTTCACTGTAATAATTTTTTAGAATTTAAACACACCACCTATTTCAGTCAACCTGTATACAGGGCATCGGGCAGGGCACTGTGCCCCTTGGCAGTGCAATGACCCTTGCAGCGCATGGCAACAGCTGTCCTGGCCTCCTCCGAGGAATTACAGGCCAGGCAGTTCTTTTCTTTACTGAATAAGAGGTAATTAAGCCTTCTTTGCTTGGGAGTTCACAGCTGCATCTGAAAGCCCATTCTTAAGTGGAAGTGGAGCAGCAGTGTGACAATTCCACAGCTGTTTCATGGCCCTCCAGAGCCTGCCCAGAAGGCCCCCAATCCACAGCAGGCAGCTCCTGTCCTGTTTCCACCCCTCCCACCCCTTGGCCCAAACTTCCAAGCTCCTGGTCCCTGCTCTGCCTCCGCTGCGGTGTGGAGGAAAAGCCCAGGGTAGTGGCCAACCCCAACCACTCTCCCCATGAAATCCGGGGTCAGCCAGCAACTGGCTTTCATTGGGAGCCTTCCACAAGTATGGAAGGATGTACACCGGGCCCAGAGATCAGGGCCTTCCACGTGGCCTGGTACAACCTCCCCTGCACCCTGAGTGCAAGCGGCAGCCACACAGTGGGTCAAAGCCCTGTTTGCCGTCCACGAACCCTCTGCCCTTGGACAAGTGCTGCAGTGGGCACCCCAGGGGACACTGAGGCTGGCACCCAGCACCCAAGGCCAATGTCTAGAAAACAGAATGATTTGTGTTGGTAAGTCTATGCCTCTGATCTTTCCTAGGACATAGGAGCTACTACACTGTAAAGATGCACAGGCCAGTGTGGGGCAGTATTTCAGTGGGACAATAAAACTCCCAGGAGGAGGACGTTGGCCAGACCTTGCTTTGGGGAGGGAACACATAAAAGCTCCCCATACTCCCTCAGCGTTTCCTGCAAGTTAAGGCTCCAAGCAGGATGTCAGGATAAGAAAGGGCTGCTTTGTCCTCTCTGTCCTTGAAAGTTGTGAAATGCCAGCCTCCATTCCATCTCGGTAGGGATAGGAAGCAGTTCTCCAACACATTCCCTGGGGAGTGGGGAGGGCCCTCGGGGAGGCCATGGAAACACAGCTGTGACAAGCTGGTGCTCACCAGGAAGAGCCAGCCTGTACCAGCCAGTGCATAACCATGAGGAAGCCCACCCAGCACTGAGGCTCCTGCAGGGACCCCGCAGCTGCCCAGGGCTGGCTGTATGTCAGAGCCAGAGGAAGCCTCTTCCAAATGCTCCTCCTGGGGTGCTGCTCCCAGGGAATCCGCTGAGTCCAGTGCTTCTGAAACCCACTCCAGACGGTACTCTAACAGATCTCAGCCCTTGGGGGGCTGCTTATCGGAGCCTGTGGCTGTTTGGGGAGGTTGGGAGGAGTAAGTAGTATTTGTGACCAATGCTCCCTTATCTACCCCAGCTCTCGAAGGAACAGAAATACACACCCATGCCCACTGGGCTCTGAGACACCTACCGCCACTGTGTTCTGCCCAATGCAACATCGACCAGAGGGCCGCAGCTGAAGTCAACATTCTATCTCAACTGGAAGGGCTGGGTGTGGCCACCCAGGAGTTGCCAATTGAGGCAGAAAAGCCAGCACCCAGATAAAGAGCTGTATTCCCTGGGGCTAGATACGTCCAGGGGACACACTCCTTCCATAGAAATAGAAAGCAAATATAAGTCAACAGGTATCCACACAGACAATGGCTTCCTGTGACTCTGCACACCCTGTGACACTTGATGGTTTCCTCTGCTCCTCAAATACGCTGGACACTTAGCAGCCCAATTGCACCAGCACCAGATCCCACCAGCACCTCGTGCTTTAGCAGCTGCAGAGACAGAGGGCTGGGTACAGAAGGTGTCGTGAGTTCTAATTTCAAGCGTGCCCTTTACTCACTGGCTGCAGCCTGGTCAAGTTACGGATTCAGGAGCCTCAGTTCCACGTCTGAATGTGGGGTAACATAGTAAAAGGCCACCCCACAGTTCCTCTTGTTCCCTACATTCACTATGGATACAAACAGGAAATGTCTGCCACAGGTCTCCAGGTCAACTAGCCACGTGGAGGGTTTGCTTAGGAGTTTAGGGTGCGACTCCTTTAAATGTGACAATTGTAAGGAAAATTGTAAGGATTTTATGCAGCCAGTTGACAAATAACCATGCGTCGGGCGGCGGCGGGCGCCCCCCACTAGAGCCCCCTTACTACAGTATCCACCCCAGCACGGGCTTCCCAGCTCTTTCTCCACCCGCTGCACCCTGGGCACAAAGGGTTCTGGCTCTCCCTGGGTGCTGCGAGGGACAGGATCATGGTGAGTGGTCGGTGGGCGCAGTGTTTGGGCTCCGGGTCGGACTCAGGGCCGCACGGGGCGAGGAAGGTGGGAGGGGCGCGCGCTGCGGATACCTTGCAGGAGCGCGCAACACTGGCCGTCGGCGGTGCTCCATAGCCGCGCGGTGCCGTCCTCGCTGCCGGTCAGCAGGCGCTGCCCGTCGGGACTCAGGCTCAGCCAGTTGATGCCCCCGTGGTGGTCGGCGCAGACCCTCAGGGCCGATCCACCGCCCCCCATCGCCCAGCCCTGCTAGACAGGGGCGCCCCGGGATGAGCGCAGCGACGCTGGGAGGCAGTGCTGGCCCGCGCCCATCGCGGGGTGCCGGGCTCCTAGGAGGCGACAGATCCGCCACTCCAGCTCCCCCGGACCTTGGGGTCCGCGATCGTGGAGGGGGCTACCGACGTGCACGGCGCGGCCCCGATGGAGCGTCCGAGGGGTGCGAGTGCAGACCACAACGCTCCCGGGCCCGCGCCCCACCTGGAGTCCCGGGCAGCCGGGTCTCCGGGCCTGCAGGCGCCCCTGCCTCTCCTCACGCCCGCAGGGCCAAGGCAGCCAGGGGAACCCCGGAAGCCCAGCACCCCACGCGCTCTCCCTTGACCCGCCGCGCGCTCGGGGCTGCCAGAGCGGAACAATGCGGTCCGGCCTGGCTCCTCCTCAAAGACCACCCCCAACCTGTCCCCTCCCACCCTCGGCCGCGCGCCAGCTCCACCCATAGCTCCCAGCTCCGCTCCCGGGCCGGGGTCCGAGCTCGGCGCGCGCCCCTTCTCTCCCTGGCGGCTCCTGGTGCCCGGGCTGCGCCTCCCGCAGCCTCTGTCCCCAGAGCCCAGGGCTGGGACGAGGGAGGCTGGGGCTGACCTAGGGGTCCAGAAATTTGGGGATGGTCTTCTTGGGGGAGGGAGCAACTGGGTGGCCCCGAGGGCGTAGTCAGTAGAAAGTCACGCGCGCACCCTGAATTCTATCTAAGTCCTTCCAGGGAGGACAGGCCGGGGTGGGGGACACTGTAAGCTGGATAGAGGGTGGTGTTCCTGCAGTCTCTGGTGGCTCGGCTCACCCCTCCGTGTCTCCATCCCCCACTTCCCCACCCCTCACCCCTGAGATCCCACAGAGGTTCGGGAAGGAATCCCACCCCCAGTCCGGCCACAGCCCTCCTGGAGCGCGGTTGCCTGGTTTGCATTACAGTAGTTCCGGTGCCTGCTTTGCTGGGGGGCGGGGACGGTGACCCCCCACTCGGATCCTCCAGGTCCTAAAGGTAGCAGGGTTTCCCCGAGCCCTCCAGGCAGGGCTCTTTCAGGGGAGAAGGGCAGGGAAAGGGTGGCTTTGGGAGCCAGCCCACACTGACGGTGTCAGATTCCAAGAAAACCCCAATCCTACGGAGCAGAGGGCCAACCAGAGACATCTATTCTTTGCCCCCAAACTTGTGAGGCAGTCTGCACCTCAGCTTACGAAGCTCAGGTCTTTCTTAACTCCATCAGGGTCCAAAGAAGAGATCTTAGTGGATCTGGGGGCTCCTGAGGAAGCAAGGGAGGTGGGGGTTCACGGGAGAGGAGGAGGGGCCCTGTGTGCCCTTGTGCCTAGAGGCTAGGAGAAAGGCAGGTGAGTGGCTGGGGGCGGTGACGCTGCGTGGAGTCCGTCCCATACCGCTGGGTCCCAAGTTCATCTTGCAAGCTCTGTGAACACGGGAGCAGCTGGCCGTGCAGGCGTGGCCTCCGGGTGAGGCCAGCTGGGCAGAGGGACAGGAGCCATGAGCATCCCGGAGGGATGAGGGGGGAGTACGAGAACCAGAGAGGAGCCAGAGGGGACCCAAATGGCAAGGAGAACAGGAGACCTGTTAGCCCACGACACTGAGCTCCCCTCGGTGTCAAGCCAGGGCTTGAAGGAGTGACAAGCACTCAGGGCAGTCATCTTTTAAAGGATCCGAAGGGGCCAGGAAGATGGCTCAGTAGAATAAGCGCTTGCCAGGGGCCTGAGTTCAATCCCCAGTTCTGCAAAAATAAATAAATAAATAAAATAAAATAAAATAAAATAAAAGATCTGGGACCCATATATTCCTGGTTCACGTATCCAGCCATCAATAGATCATCTGCTCCTGTTTGCAGCCCTCAGCAGACAGAGGGTGTCCAGCTGCCACCAGCTCCTGGGCCCAACTCACAAGGACCCTGGCCACATGCTGTGGCCCCCACCCCCCATGGTCTCTTTCCCAGATGGATTTTTCTTTTTGGTACCAGAAATCAAACTCAAGACCTCACTTGCCAGGCGTTGTAACACTGAGCTGTAGCCCTGGCCCTCAGATGGATTTCTTGTTCTCGCCCTTCCTCTTTTATCCCCCCCTCTTCCCTTGGCTTGGCTCATTGTGGCTCCCTGGTGGGGTAGGCACCATGGCTCCTTTGGGGGCGGGCCTGCGGTAAGGGGGAAGGTATATGACTTCAGTTTCTCCTTTCTCCTTTGCAGGTGGCAGGTCACAGGCTGCTCCGGGAATTTCACACGAGTGCACGAGGTGGGAAAGTTAGAAAGAGATCCGTATTTCCTTGGAAAATAGAGTCTTGCCCACCTTGAGAGGACGAAAGGCAGAGACCCAGGAGTCAAGCTGGATCTGCCTGCAGAAGTGACACCAGCATAAATCCTCATCTTTCTTTGAGAGCCTCGTGCCAGGATCTTCCTTTGGTCCTGTGTAACCAGGTCTCTTTGAGAGGGAATCATTTTGGGACAGTAAAGCACCTAAGGAGAGCTCATGGTGGGCAGGAGAGCAGGTGGGGGCTCACCTGCAGCTCCAGCTGCTCTGAGGCTGAGGCAAGAGGGAAGTGAGTTGGAGCCCAGTCGGAGCAATTTAGCCAGTTAGCCAGACCCTGTCTCAAAATAAAAAGGAAGTGGCTGTGGAGGGTCACTCCTATAATAGCAGCACTCTGGGAGTCTGAAGGCACCAGGAGGACAAGTTGGCGAGTTCAAGCCCAGCCCAGGCAGTTTAGCGACTTAGCAAGACTGGGTCACAAACAAAAAACAGGGGTTCAATCTCCGAGACTTTCAACGCGAGATTGCTGGGACTGCATCTCAGCACTTCCTAGGTTCGTCGACCGGCACTGAGAGGTAGGGGTAGAAGTAGAAGGCATTTAACTCCCTGCTCCCCCAGTGGAAGAGACATCTTGTGGCAGGAAGTGCCCAACCCCAACGCCAAAAGAAAATCACGACTTCACCTGCTGGAAAGATGGAAGCATCAGGAGAGGTGGTTGTCCTCAGGAGTGGAACATGACAGCAGGAGGGGCCTTTTGGGATGCCCAGGAGAACCTCAGCTTGTTATGGTGCGCTCTAGGCTTCCTGCATCCATAGGCGGGGCTTTAAGAAGATGATTGGGCGCGGGGACTTGCTGTTAGGCGGGGCTCATTGGAGGAGCAGCCATTGGGGGCGTGGCCTGGCGGCGCTTGCCCTGCTGCGGGGCACCTCCCTCGCTCCACTGCCTGTGCACCATCAGGTGAGCTGCTTTTCCTCTGCCCAGCTGCCCTGCCTTGGAGCCGGCTGACCACGGACAGACCCCTCGACGGACCGCAAGCCAATACGAAGTGGCAGAGGGCGAGTATTTTGCCCCAGCAAAGAGGACTAAGGCACAGCTGCTGCTGCTGGCTGTGGGCAGCACCAGTTATCAGCCTCTCCGTTTCCCCTCAAGAGGTGGCACCCCTTTGCTCTCTGTGGGTCACTCCCAGAAGAACCCAGGAATTCCAGAAGGAAGCAAGAAGCCCACAAAGGTTTTCAAACCTGGGGTGCGAAGAACAACTGAGATATATTCTGCGAAGACCCTATTGTTGCCAATAGAGAGGCCCAGCCAGCGTGCTGGGTGGGACCCAAAGGCTTCCCAGTGGGAGGGCTTCGCTACAGCACTGCTAAGGAAAAACGAAGAGAGGCAGACCCTGGAGATGCAGGGAGACTCCAGGGCACCACGGGATCGGATCGAGGGGCGGAAGCGGGGAGGGGCCTAGTGGGGAGGGCGCCTCCTCCTGGTGAAGGGGAGGGGTGCAGATGAGCCCGGGGCACACCCCCCACCCCACCGCACCCCTCCCGCCAGCTGCAGCCATTCGGGTTCCACGCTGAGTGATTCTGTGGAACCTGCAGGTATTGTTCTTTGTACTCTTGTGTTGAAAACGTAACAAGTAATTTATGTATTTTTTTGTTATTTGGAGACAAGGTCTTGCTGTGCAGCTCAGGCTGGCTTTGAGCTCACTTTGTAGCCTAGTCTGGCACCAAATGCATAATAATCCTTATGGCTCAGTGGAATAAGCGCTTCCCTGGCAAGCACAAAGGCCTGAGTTCAATCCCCGGTTCCGCTAAAAAAAAGCATAATCCTTCTGTCTCAGCCTCCTGAGTGCTGGGATCACAAAGGTGTGTCACCATGCCTGGCCTGATTTATTTATTTATTTTTTTGTTTTTGGCGGAACCGGGGATTGAACTCAAGCCCTTGCGCTCACCAGAGAAGCACTTAGTCCACTGAGCCATCTCCCCACCCCCCTGGCCTGATTTATAAATTTAAAAATTGTGCTCAGCGAAGTGGAGTGGCCCACATCTGTAATCCCAGCACTTGGGAGGCTGAGGCAGGAGGTCTGCTGAGTTCAAGGCCAGCATGAACTACATACCCTCCTACCCTTCCTAAAGAAAAAAATAGGGCCAGGGAGATGGCTCAGTGGAATAAGCGCTTCCCTGGCAAGTGCAAGGGCCTGAGTTCAATCCCCAGTTCCACCAAAAAAAAAAAAAAAAAAAAAAACCAACCGAACAAAAAACCAAGCTGTGCTTAAAGGCTCTGTGAAAAAGAGATCCCTGAGCATGGTGGTCCCTAGCTGTAACTGCACCCCTGGGAGACTGTGGCAGGAGTTCCAGCCTCCACTGGGCTGCACAGAAAGATTCTTGTCTCAAAACATCAAAAACAAATAAATTAGGTAAATTATTATTATTATTATTATTATTATTATTTTTTTGGCAGAACCGGGGACTGAACTCAGGATCTTGTGCTTGCCAGGCAAGTGCTATATTCTACTGAGCTATCTCCTGGTCTCCAAATTAAGTAAATTAAACTCGGTGTCAGTCAACTTTGCAATACTGTAACAAAATACCCCAAATGATCGACTTGTGAGGGGCAAACACTGGGGGCTCAGTAGTCGGGGAGGTGCAGTCAGTGAGTCCCGTTGCTCTCTGGCTGGGAGCAGGGGAGCACATGGTGAAAGAAGCATCTCACTGAAGCATGAGGTAGGGAGTGAAAGAGAAAAAGCAGGGTGTGGGGTGTGCACCTGAAGTCTCGGCTCTCAGGAGGCTGAGGCAGGAGGGTAGAGAGGCTTGAGACCAGGCTGAACTATGTAGACAGACTCTGTCTTTCTTATTTTATTTTATTTTTTTTTGGTGGAATGGGGATTGAACTCAGGCCCTTGCGCTTGCCAGGCAAGCGCTTATTCCACTGAGCTATCTCCTGGCCCCTTTCTTATTTTTTTGAGACAGGGTCTCACTATGCAGTTCAGGCTGGACTTACGCTCGCTTTTTTTTTCCAGACCTGGTGTTTGAACTCAGACCCTTACACTTGCCAGGGAAGTGCTTATTCTACTGAGCCATCTCTCTG